GGAGTTTCGTTTAATTTATATATTAATTTGTATGCTCGACTGATTTCTTTTTTAACTTTTTGTAGGTGTCTTGGATTCATACTAAGAACACAAGGTAGTTTTTACTATAAAGAAAAGTTCGGTTATAATCGATATAAAGTTCTCTTGTGGTTTTTTTTTTTTTTTGAACAACAACCATAAGAGAAAAGTTTTGTTTCTCTTACGGTTTTTTTCTTTTGAGCCACAATCATAAGAGAAAAGTTCTGTTATAATCTATATAAAGTTTGGTTTTGTTGATGTTCTATTATAATCGACTATTAATGTATCTCTTGGTGCAGAGGACGTCAAAAGAACCTCTTGACCTTGATTGGCTTAAGGTATAATATATTTCCTGTGTAACATTGTTAAACTCTTTATCATACCATAATTTTATCGGCATTTATATTCTTTTCGGTTTCTAGACATTTCATCTAAGGACATCTCTTAGAGTGAGGGGACGTCTTCAAGTGTAGTCTCAAACTCGATATACAAATGGCTTTGTGTTGTTTGATAATCTCTCATCTCTGTACCTACAATTATGTTTCTTATTGCATGCTAAAATCGCACTCACCAATGATCCTGTGCACACCATAATGTTAGTCCATGTCCTTAGGTGTTCTCAACACTAGAATCAAGACTTCTTTGAATGCTCTTTCACGTCTTGGTGCAGGTCAAAGTCTCCAGAAAGGGTAGGAAAATCAATGAATCTCCGCAGCTCAAGAACAAATGGTCAATTTGAGTCTAAGATTGGCCCTATAGACTCAAAGGTGATTTACATACCCGTGGGTAAGAAACAAAATAGTACTAATTGTCTTCAGTTTCAAAATTTTCATAAAAAGCTGTTAAGAGTTGAGAAAATGTGTTGTGCTTGATATTGTTGTTTGTGTGTGAGAGTATAAGTTGGATATGGCGTGTATGCAGAGAACGGGCATTGCTTTAACCCTAACACTGTAACGTCTCAGTGCTCCCACGCCGTCAACAATTTCTTTCAGAGGAAACGTCAATCTCAAGCACTTGTGACTTTGCCGACGCAACAACTGTCTCAAAAAATTCACGTTTGTCAGTGTGAATGATATGAGAAAGAGTATATATTATCACACCTCAAGACTCAAGAGTCTCTATACTGGATTTTAGAACTCGTATTTTATTAGTAATTGTTATTTCTTATGCCATTGTGGTCTATCTGTGGTTTTGATATGGATGATCGTAGCTAATAGGCTATCTCTCTAGAGATTTGTTTTAGCTGATTGCTACAAATTTGAGATGGGTTTGTGTGTTGTTCTATAACATTTGATGCAGTGTTAGTGGAACCACAACTCCATTGGCGACCACAACTTCGACAAGAGTCACTCCAACAACTAATACAAGACCATACTCAGTCACACCATCAGCAGGATGATGATTGAGAATACCATTTGGAAGAGGACATATTAACTTGGATTACACATATATTCCTTGTGTTCTGCAAGGAGGACGGGGATAAGGAAGAAGAGTACCTTAAAGAAGAAGGTGAAGAGTTTGGGAATGAGATTCAATGGTGGAGAAAAGTTTTAAGCGTTAAAGCTTCTGTTTAACAAAGCAGTGAAGGGATCGAGAAGACATACAACAATTTCGGTGGCAGAGGAGGAGCGACACATTTCCGATATCCTACCTACTATATTTGGAGAATCACGTGCTTTATTTTTGTATCACTTAATGTTCGCAATAGTTTATGAGCAATCATAAAACAGAGAAGGAAAAATAGTTTATTTGGAGGGCGCATGTTAGAATTCAGAAGCCACATGATCTATAATGCTTTCCTGAATCATCTAATTGAGATATAAATGGTCTTTTTAAGTATACTCTCTTCTATGAACAAGAAAGTTAAGGTTGCTCTTCTCATGTGAAACATCTTATACACGAGAAACATCCTCACGACATCTCTAAACGCCATGTTCTCTTTCTACACCATGTCGTCGTAGCCACACGTACCTAGACTCTTCACTTTGAATACTCTGGCGTTTTATCTTTTTGGTGGTTTTATTTTGTTTCTTTAAACTCAAATCTTTGG